ATTTTAGAAGTCAAAAAAGAAATTAAATACAACTACCTTATGAAGCCAAGATTCTTAAGTTACTCAATGAAGCATTTATGAATAGTTAACAGTAATGATGTCATGTCAACTGGGTCTGTTGAACTGTCTTCGAGAACTAGAAACGGCCAAAAAGAGATGGCAGAGCACTCTTAAAGACTAGGTTTGTGGTAGAAATACTATTTTAACGTTTTCTTTATTCGTAGGAAATTAATTTATTTGAATTAAATAAAAAGTATTGATAACGTAGTTTTTGACATAGTTTGATGAATTGAACCAAGAACATTAAAGTGGTTCATAATAAATGTTGATCGAACATTCGATTGATACTAAAAACTAAGAAAAAAATTATAATAGAAATAATTATTTACATTTCTTTTTTATTTACTGAAAATAATAAATAATTGATGAAGTGTCAATTCTTAATGTGTCATAGTGTGACAGATGTTAGTTTTTAAATAACAGTCATTGTTTGACTTTTACCAAAATGCAAGATATTAATTTTCTATTCTTCTGATGAACTTGATTGTATAATTAATTCTGCATGCAATAGTGTTATTAGATTCGTCATTTTTATTGTGTCAAATGTCGATTGACACAGTTTTATTTTTTGAATACGTTGGCTTTGTTCGAGACTATACAAAATTTAATCGTTTGTGATAATTATAAATATTTCGTGCATGTCCTATTCAATATCAATGTTCAAGTGATTTGTCTTGATTGCTCGATGTGAGCTATTAAGATTTGTATCTTGGATAGAGGCCTGTATTGGAGTCATTTTTAGAAGCCATCGGAGAGCTCTAAATTGTCTACCAGTAAATAAGGTTTAACATAGCAGATTATTTTGAATGATAAGTTCTATTCTTTGATATTCATTATATAAACTGATGTATCTAGAAGGTTCGATACATGTCTTCTCACGACTTCATGAATGTGAGATAAAGTCGAAGTCAACATTGACTCGAACTTTTCATGAGCTTAAGACTCGAAGAGAAACCTATCGTATTTCTAAAATATATTAATTTATACAGTGAATACCAATAAATAAAACTGACAATTCAAGAAACCTCTTGTGTTAAATTTTTTTCATTAATTAGACATTGAATTGACTCTGACGAGATTCCGATACAAGTTTCTAATTTCGAATTATATGAGCCTTTTCAGCCTAATTGTACTTGTTCGTCGATCTAGCCTCATAAGAACAAGATATACCGAAGTGAAATGTATGTATTAAGTTCTGACATATTACGGTGATATATATGTGTTCTGGAGAAAAAAGAAAGGTAAGTCAACGAGCTAGCCTAAGATGATGCTATAATAATTAATGAAAAGTGAAAACATCAACTTAGCCAACGCGGATCAACCAATTAAATACATAGATAGAAATTGAACAATATAATGACAATAGTTTATTAGTTATAATTGTATTCAGTCAATATGATAAATAATCATTTTTTTGTCTTTCAATATCTGAGATAAATTACTGTACACGTTGATACCTACATTTTCAGCTCAACATGAAGTCGTTTTTATTGAAAGTTTAAAAAATATAAGATCGATAAACTATCTATCTACCTGAAAAAAGGCTGTTTGGCCTTTAACAAGATCGAAAAATCAAAATCTTGTACCTATCTCATACAGACAAATAAATTAAATAGCCTGTTGGATTCTTTGACATCTATTATTCAAATAGGTCTTTATCAATCGTCAATGATCAAACAAATAGATGAATTGACACAGTTCATCAAGACGACAAAACGTTTGTTTCTGTTGCTAAAGTCAAACAACCAAACGTAGAAATGGAAATCAGTCAATTGAAACTGTAGTCAATATTTGGATATAAACCAAAGTATTCTTTTGTTTATTCTATTCTTACTGCTTTTTGATACGAAAGACGTCTTGTTCGTTATATTTCTTTTAAGAAAATATGTTCAAGTTCACATCAGTCTATATTTTGTATCTAGTTACTGCCTACTGTTTAATGTTGCTCAGCAACATTATTTTTTTTTGGCTTTTCTCTCTTCCTCCCTGTTATATTTATTGTTCTAATAATTTTAGTATTGTTGTTATTGTCGTTTGACAGAAACGAGAAAGTGATGATTTTTTTCTGTTTTAGACGAGCCGTGCACAGCATCTTTGGTAGCGCACATGAACAGACATGGCTGGAAAGGCAAGCAATAACAAGGAGAAGAACAAAATGAAACTGTCTCTCTTCCATTGCTTAGTAACAAAAAAAACTGCGGCAAGCAGAACAGATGAAAGTAAAAAATGATGGAGGGCGATGCCGAGTAACCACATATAGGTAAAAAAAGATACTTTCGTTGAATAGCAACGCGTTTCAGTACCCACAACAATTACTTTCAACAGTAGTAGCAGTAGTGATGGCTTTTTGTACACTCTTTAGCATAGTTTTGTTATATCATCATCTGAAATAATGATGTTTCTTTTTATTTTCAGATAGGAAATTACTTAGTTGAACGACATTATCCATGGCTACACAGACAAACCAGGGGTATAGTGGTCATGGTTCGTTTCTTGATAAATATCGTACCAATTTGAATACACGAGGCGGGTAAGATATCTTGTTAAAATTTCGAGCAGAAAAGTTGAGAATCAGTTTAAGACTGACCTTGGAAAGAAAACTTGAGCAATAGATCAGATTATTATATAAACATTTTACTATGTATCAAAGGAAGTATATGCAAATAACACACATAAACATTACTCGAGTTATTTGTAAAAACTCAAACTAAAAGATTGAATTGCTAATGGAAATTAGTGGTAGGAAAAATAAGACTGATGATCTCTTTTATTTGTATTATGACACAGCACATAATAAACATACATTCTTTATGTGACATAAAGAGAATAGCTTTCATTTGGTTTCCTCTGTGAATCTCGCAGAGATTCTTTTGATAACTTTCTCATCTATTTTTATAATAAATTGTTTTGTTTTTCTTTTATTTCGTACAGAGTACATCTACTGATGTTTCACAATAAGTAATCATTGAGCTTCGTAGATCATTCAATTCCTACCTTGTTACTCTTTAACTTGAATTGTTTATTTAAAACAAATTTATTTTTTCATTGAAAGAACGGTTCGATTTATGTTTTTTTGATTTAGTTCTTATCAATATATTCATCTTAAAGGTAAAAATAAGACAGATATTTATGGAAAATCTATCCCATTTTGCTTTGCTTTAGAATTTTATTCTAATAAGTTTTCTTCATTGCTTCTCTTAAATAAAAAAAAAAAAAATTTTAAATGAATTAAAATCTAATATTGTGATCTATTTAAATTATTAGTGATAATTTTCAACAACGAACAAATTATGTATCAACACAACCACAAATATCGCAAAATTATGGTACTAATGTTGATACATCAACATTACGTGCTACAGGAAATGTTATTCAAGATGAACGATTTGGTAATGAAATTCTTGCTCGTGCTGGTCCAAGTCAGCATTATCAACATCCACAATATCGTACTCAAGAAAGTAAAAAGAAAAATACGCATTATGTCTATTTTTTTAAAAACAAATTTTTCTATTCTACATATAGTTATTGCACCTGAGGGTCGATTGGAAAACTTAAGTGTACAAATGGATAATGAACCACTACGTGTCATAAAGCCAGCTGATCAAAATATTCATTATAAACAACAAGTTAATGTACGCTTTTTGGAACCACCACCAGGACCTGAGCCAGCACCAATTATCATCAAGGTAAATTGTTAATTAATTTTATATTTAATTTCTATCTGTATATATTTAGGAACGTCAAGCACCGGCTGCACCTGCACCACCTCCAGTAGTTATTCGACAACGGCCACCAACACCACCAACACCTCCTCCGCTTATTATTCGTATGATATTTATTCGTTTTTGTGAATTTTAATTGTAATTTTTTTCTGACATTAGGCGAACGTCCTCCAACACCACCTGCTCAACAACAACCACAAGTTATTGAAAAAGTGTTGCCACCACCACCAGCTCCACCTCGACAAGTTATTGTTGAACGACTTCCACCTCCACCGGCAAAACCACGTCAAATTATATATGAAAAATGGTTACCTTATCAAGAAACAAAGGAACGACCAGTGATCGTCGAAAGAGCACCAGCTCTTGAGGTGTATGTAAAAATTGAGGCTAGAATTATTTTTATTTCAAAAAATTAAATTTTAGTATTCGACCACCGAAAAATGTTATCATTGAATATGAACAAGCGAAAGCTCATACGGAACAAGTTGTTATTGATGAAGGTGTCTTTCGTGCTGATCCTCAATCGCATAATGCAACAAGTACCATTGGGTAATAAACACCATACAAAAAAAATTTTCATAAAAACTCTATTTCATTTTCTATTTAGTGAAGTTCGTATTGTTGATAAAATAACCGATTTACCGGTGAACTATTCAAAATATTTAACAAATCGTCGTCCTGAATCGGTTCAATCTCGCCCAGCATCAAGTGCTAGTCAACAACAAGCACCTCAACTACAGTTTAGTCAAACTGAACCGGCACAACAATATCGTTCAACAAGTTATAATTATCCAGGTTTATTTCTTGTTTTTTTAATAATAAAACCATAAACTCAAAACAATTTCTAATGATGAGAATATATTTTAGGTGCTTATACAACAACTTATCGTGCATCATATACAAATCAAAATCCTAATCGAACTGGATATGGACAAACAGGTGTTAATGATGCAGGTCGATCGGCAGTTTATACAAAATATGTCTAAAGAAGTATCATAGACAATATTCCACAGAGAGACATTAGGATATCCTACCCATAAACGATCTTATTGTATCTATATACACCTCGGATGATGATGGACATCCGAAATGAATGAGTTATTTTTTTGTCACTTTTCTCTCTTAATTTTTATTCTTCGTCTTTTGATTCTATTTCAAATATAAAATTTTTAAATTTCACTTTTCTTTATAATTATGGTGCAAAACAAAAATTTACTATTAATGTTGTTTACAACTAGGACAATAATATTCATTACGTCTTGCGAATTGTTGAATTCCATGACCATCAACATATTTATCATATCGATTGTTCTCGGCATGAGGTCTTTGATCTAAAAAAAATAGAGAGATGATAAATAAAAAGAAGCAATTTTTATTATAGAATGTTTACCAGAACATTCACAACATTGAGGTGTTGTATTAAGAAAACAATAATGGCCACATTTTTTATGTTGTTGACCTTTATGTGCAGTTTTTTTCATTGCTGATGCTGAGGCTAAGATAAAAGCTAAAATTGTTCTTGGTGTTGTTATTGTTTCTTCGTTGTGAACTTCATGATCCAATTTCGTCGGTAATCGACGTGCATTGTTTTCATTACGATATACTGTTGATATATGATTAGTTTGAATATCTGCTGATGGTAGTTTGATAGTTGAATAGTCAACAGTATTTTTGGTCATATGATATAAACGTGATGCTTCTTCAAGATTATATGATACATTATATTCATGTTGTTGGTGCAATGGATACCGACAAATTGGACCTTTATAAAGAATAAATTTAGGAAAAATGATAAAAAAATATGCGTAGCATACATTCATTAAGACGATTATGACCGAATGTATGGTCAATACATGTGGAATGACCGCAAAGAAATGTTGTTGGACGATGTACTAATGAATACTCTTCATAACAAATTGGGCATCGACTCCAATCGTCATTCATGTTTAGTTAAGACTTTTTTGTGGAATAGTTTGGAAATAATGTAAGTAAATGTTGGTGTTCGCTGGTCAAAGTATATTTAAATAGTACTTATAAACGATGACATATATATGATATGAGTCAAAATATTATCTTTTTTCTTTGACATGTAAAATGATATTTTTTTTGTTTACGTCATTAAACTTTACCTGATGACGTAAAACAAGTATATTAATGAATTCAAATAAATCTGAATAATTAGAAAGAACAAGATAACCGACCGGACAACCAATATATACGTATACATATATAGCACTAAAACTCTTGTTGATTACATTGCAGAAAGCAGAGTTCTAAGAAAAAGAAGAATATTGTCTCGTGGACTAACGCATGACCTTGCATCATTGTATATACCTGCCTGAATCACGTGCTATGTTATCGTATGATTTGAAAAGATCTAACAAAACATTGAAAAAACAAATTAGCACTTGTGAAACAAATCCAAAGAAAAAAGCAAAAAACTAGAATGCGATCTATAAGTCATTGCGATGAACAGTACTATGAAGCTCTACTATCAGTTTCATTACAATGAGTTAAGACTTAGATTAAACATATTTATAATTTCGTTTTTCAACAAGAAGACATAGAACTTGATAATTACTATCACTACAAAATATTGGTATGAAGTTTGTATGCATGAAACTACGAATTTTGAAAGAAAACCATTCCAAAGCCTTGAGTATTTTGCTAAACAATACAGCCATATTTTGTTGTCATTCATTGAAATGAAACATTGTTTTGAATGATTTCATCAGAAATTTTATTTCGATTATTACTTTGAATATATCAATTAAAAACTAAACGGATAATATTGATTTAAGATGTAGAATTCAGAGTATTATGAAAGTAAATAGACTTTAGCCTTTTCATTATATGACCTGTTACACATGATGACATCTGTAGAAAATCGAACAGATGCAAGAAAATGATTGGTATTATTATTGAAACAAACCGATGCGGACATATGCATATATATATATCAATATAGATATATATTCGTGGTTTGAGGTATTTTTCATCAAACAGAGCAAAATTTTTCATTATTTTTAACCTTAATAAATTACCATCATTGAATATACTTAACTAAAAATGAATGATAAGGACATGAAAAAGAAAAGATTAGGGTGTAAAATATATGCTTATGTCTAAGTTCACATATTTTATTTTTGCTATCTTTACATGAAATATTTCATATTATAACGTATATGCAGATGTTTCTTCTTCATTTTTATTTAGATTCCTTATTTTTTTTGTATTATTATGAGTGCAACGAATAGTTTCAATTATTTATTCCTAAAAAGATTTGCTCATCTTGTTCACGTTTTTATTCCTTTTTCTCGTCTTTCATTAAATGTTCATAATCATAATGAACGAATTTATACACATCCATTAATTCTTTTGTTGCTTATACTTATCAATGAAGCTGGTTTACAATTCGTTATTTATCTTGTTGGTTTACTTCCGTCTCAATTTTATGTTGAATTAAGTAAAACACCTGATAAACGTAATTTTTCAGTATTTCGTTGGTTAGTTATTCGTTCATTTGGTTATGTAGTATTAAATGCATTTCTTAAATCACTTTCAAGTTTTTTATCCTCAATACTGTATGTTAAATGGCGTATGAGACTTGTTCTCTATTTACATTCATTCTATTTTACACAACAACGTTATTATCATTTATCAAATACAACACAACAAAATCAAAATAGAAACGATAATGATCATGTCTCGACGTATGAAAATCATTCGATACAAATGTAAGATAGATATAAAGAAGTACTCCATAAAATTAGTTTTTCTTTTATTCAAATTTATTGTTTTTGTTTTTAGTGTAGACATTGGTGAACATGATCAAGAATCAACTGATTATATGTCAGCGGATAGTTCTCAACCGTCGGTATCAACAAAACCACTAATTGACAATCCTGATCAACGTATAACTCAGGATGTTGATGCATTGTGTCGATCATTATCAATCATAATACCTCTTATTGTTATATCACCATTTACTATTGCTTATTATACTTATCGTACATGGCAAGTGACTGGTTATTATGGTCCCTTATCAATAATAATCTATTTCATAGTATGGACTTGTATAAATAAAATATTTATATCAGCTGTATCACGAACAATATTTCGACAAAATATATGTGAAGGTAATTTTCGTTTTCTTCATACACAAATTCGAATACATAATGAACCAATTGCATTTTATAATGGTGGTTCATTTGAACATAAGCGATTTGATAATTATTTTATACAAATTCTAACACCATTACTTTATCGTCGAACAATTCAAGAATTTTTTCTTAGTTTATCAACAAATTTATTTGATTATATTGGGAGTATATTAAGTTATCTTTTATTAGCATTAGCAATATTTGTTTTTCATTTTTATGATAATGTACCAGCGGAAAAATTAGTTCAAATTATAAGTCAAACATCATTTATAACAATGTATCTAATTTATCGTTTTAGTCAATTAAATGATTTAACCGATAAACTAACACTAATTGCAGCTAATACACATCGTGTACAAACATTTGTTGAATATATGAAAAATATCGATACAACATGGTCAGAAAGACAATTGAATAAAATTATACAACAAAATGAAATTCTTATTATTAAAAATCTTTCATATTCAACTCCGAATAATAGTAAACATATTCTTATGAAAAATCTCAATTTAATATTAAACAAAGGACAACGTCTATTAATAACAGGTCTCATTTTGAATTTATTATTAATCATCAAATATCGAAAATTTTATTCATGAATCGTATAGTTCATATCACTTAAAAATTTAACATATTAAGATTAAATTTCGGGGAAAATATTGAAAAGAAAACTCAGTAGTTCAGTATGATCATTACAACGGTAGACATTGCATGTCAATTCTTGATACAGTTCGTATATCAAATAAAGTGAAATCATCTTGACGAATAATATGCAGTGTTTTAACATCGTATTTATATTGAACTATTGAGGTTTTTCAATCAAATACTGATTATAGATATTAGAATCAAAGAATATGTGCTAATCAAACAATAGATAGTAACAGATTAGAGATGGAATCGGTCTTTTTTGTAAAATGCGAACTGATCTTATCGAAAATTGATACTCTAATGATTTCTTAGCTCGGTATAAGTTTTGACATGATTTAGTTGGTTCACTTCCAAGAGAATTCGAAGCTGATGCTATCTTTCCACTAGATGTAATTATTCATTTAAATAGGCTGTGCACCTCTTTTGTTTTATGTTCTCGAGCGATCTTCTTGGTCTAAATCGGACATTTAATAAGCGAAAGAAAAGATCTGTTAAAATTTATTTCAGATTATACAAATTAATTTCCTTCATATGCATCTTCGGATGATTTTTATCTGATCAAACATAAAAGGATGAGAATTCATAATCTGAGATGACCTGAGTAGTGTCACATATCCAAACTTTTGGAGATGCGCCCACATCTCTCGCAGGAGATTCCGCATCACCCGCGGGAGACGCGGTCATTTTCCACTGAAGATGTATCATCTCCTTTAGAGATGCACACTCCCCGCACCGACACTCACATCTCTCACAGTAAATGACGCATCTCCCGCGCTAGACGTGGATGCATCTCCAAAATTTTGGATATGTGACACTGCTGCTTCATTCATAAAACATATCGTACGACGTAAAAAAATCTTATTTCAACGTCTACAAAATTTGTTTTGTCTGAAAACTTTTTCTTAGTAGCCAACATCTTAAGGATGAGTATCATAAAAGATACAATCTCCTCAGAAACCGGCTATTTTTTGAAAAACAATTGAAAAGGATTATTGAAGTAAATAGAGTAGAAATACGTATCCATCTCCTACAGACCATGACAGAAAGCTTAGCAACAACTATAGATGTAAGGGATCAAGGCCACAAGAAAAGTCTGCCAAAACATGAGCTGATGTTTGTAGTAAATACTTTGTACGTACATTTTTAGCATAGAAACATCACATATGTGACAAACATCCCTACCAACGTGTTTCATTCATCAGACAATGTGGCAGATACCTTAACAGCATTCCTACATTACAAAATTGCGACAAACATTATTAATATACGATCAGAGACCGTATACCTATAACGTGTCGTTATGATAATTGAACTACTTGCTTATTGAGTTTTTAAAGGATTAAATAAAAGAATGGTGAAGAAATGTATCCCTTTTAATCCTGCATGGATTGTGTTAATAACCATTTTATTTTGTTAATGAATAATGTATGTTAAATTTTAGGTGATAGTGGTGTTGGTAAAACATCTCTTTTTCGTGTTCTTCAATCAATATGGCCGGTGAATATAAATGGATCTTTTTCATATAATATTGCTCATGCTTTTTTACTTCCACAACGTCCCTATTTTACAAATCAATCACTTTATGATGAACTTTCTTATCCTGATGTAAAAAATATACCAACAATAACACGTCAAACACAAATTGAACATCTTCTTAATGAATGGAGTCTTTCACATATACTTGATTGTGTTGAATCAAATGTATTTACATGTCCAAAATATGCTTGGCAAGATTTATTATCTCCTGGTGAATTACAACGCTTATCATTTGTACGATTACTTTTTCGTCTATCACCTAATGAAAATAATGAAACTCCAAGAATAAATCTTGTTTTTCTTGATGAAATAACATCATCGCTTGATGTTAATATGGAAAAGAAAATGTATAATTATTTAATTGAACAAAATCTTACTTTAATTAGTATTGGTCATCGTGATACACTACGACAATATCATCAATTTGAACTTAAATTATATAAAAATGGACAATATTCGCTTGAAAATCTTGCAATCTTAGATTAGACCTTTTTGCTTTGTTTTTTATCTTAGGATAATTAATTAGAACAATTAAAATAGAATATTTTATCTTAGTGCAATAAATTCTTTTTTTTTCATTTTCGCTTCATGATTAATAGAATAATATGTTGCTTTTTTTTCTTTCTGTTCATGTGTATTTATGTATAGAGAGTAACTAGTGTAACACAGTATCTCGGTCATTTTCTATTGTATGACCTGTACAATAAGAACGTAGGATATAATTGAGTGGTATGTTTATTCTCTCCGAATTGAAAATAGAGAGTAGCTACTATGTCACACGTTATATCACCTTTTCTCTGTTCTATGTTGCCACGTCTTCACTTTTTCTTACCTGTTATAAAAAAGAGAAAGAAAGAAACAGAACGAACATATTTGTATGTCAGCCATATATATTTATCCTTGAATAGTATGCGCATTAATGTCTCCTACATCAAATATAGTTTCCATCTTAGAACAGTAATTCATATTTTATGTATAGTGTAGCTATAAATAGAAAATATTAATAGTTTTCTTTTACTTTTAGATTTCGAACAAAATATGACGTCTGAAAATAACACTAAAGAACAAAATCACCATATGACTACAAACGATTTATCATTATCATCAAATATATTTGATGCAGATGTATCGATTGAATTAAACAATCGTATAAGAAATGATTTTATGTCTTATTGTTTTTCATTTTTACAAGAAAATGAAGAAGCTCAGCAATGTGTTCAAATTGTATGGAATAAATATTTACAATGTGTGGGTGATATTGCTATAGTAAATAAAGAGAAAAAAATTTTCTTTTTTAAAATAATATTTAATATTCTTATATTTAGTCATCAGCTTTTTTTGATACACTCCCATTTCATATAAAATCATCTGTTTTGCCAAAATATCAAATTGAAATAGTAGAATGGTGTCAAAACTTATTTCATATTCATGCAAATGCATTACTTTGTTCAACATATTATTCTGAAACATTTCAACGTGTTATTCGTTATGCATTGAAAAATGATCGATTTAAAAAAGGAATTATTTATGTTCCTATGGATTTTGATACAAATTTAAAAATTGATTTAACATCTTCATTATCAAATATTAAATTTGAACATATTTCAAATGATATTTCATCGGAAGATATGATTGATATTAATCAACTTGAAGAACGTATTAAACGTGATGCTAATGATATACAATCATATCCTTTCATGGTTATTGCAAATGCAGGTAGTTAGTTTTCACTATTTTATTCAGCGTGAAGAGCCAATTCTCTTCGAAAATTGAATTGAATCAGTTTTCCGATTATTTTAAATCGTTCGTACGGAAGATAAAAGTTGTTAGCACAATCTATGTAGGATTAAAATATGAAACACGATGTAACTACGGTTGATAATCACTGAAAGATTATTTTGTTCGATTTATTTTGAGACACATTTCTTTATTATTATTTTCTTAAATCTTTCAGAAATTTAATAAGCAAGCAGCTCATATATTACAACTTGACCTTATTAATAATGGATAATCGAAAAGTTTTTTTTTTGTTGACACAAGATGTTTATTCATTTTGGCCTGTTTGAAAGCATTTTAGATGAAATAAAAACCTTAGGTTGCGATCAAAATTTGAATATGAGCTTTGAAATGTTGTATCCGTTTTTTTTGTTCAAAAGTAGTGAAGAACTTTTTGAAAGACCTGAAAACGGTGAGCCAATTAAGTTCTTGTTTATTCTATAAACTCCTTTTCGAATATGCTGAAAACTGTCGAAGTCGATTGTTCGATAGAGTGGACCCTTTTCTACAAAATGTGATAGTGAACATAGCCGTCGCTTCTACCTAAATGAAACTACAAGCATTTTTTTCGAAAAATTCATTTCAACGTAAAAAGGTTGTTGATTTTTCAATAATGCATATTCAGATAAAACGAAAATTGAGATGCCTTGTTGAAAGACACAACAATAATTCAAATAATACATTCTTTAGGTTAGCTCTTGATCAACATAAATAAAGATTCTGACTTTTGATTTTGAGTCGCAATAGTACTAATATGAAACTTTTTCACCTGGACTAATTCTTTTGGGTTTTTCAAAGATTATTTCATTACTCTTAAATAAAAACTGAGGTGAAATTTCGAAGTTCATATTCCATCATATCTTTTGACTCGTTGGAATTACTTCCTGGTGAGTCAAAAAGTCTACAAGTATCGTATCTAAAAACTTTTCGATCACTCGTTATACAGTCCGCGATTGTATATTAACAGCGTTCGTGTTGATTTAGGTAGAGAAGAGCTTAAAAGTTCTATCTCTACATTTTAATACTCCTTTTAGATCATGTTTCACAAAATCTGAATAAAAACACTGTTTTATTTATGTGATATAAATAAGGAAATTTTTCTTTTTGGTTTTTTCTTATATAGGTTCAGCATTATTAGGTCACTGTGATCAATTAACAAAAATAAAAAAACTTTGTGAGCAATATAATATTTGGCTTCATGTTATTGGAGATTTATTAGGATCATTAGCTTTATTATCAACAATAAAAGATAATGTGAATATTAGTTGTGATAGTTTAACAATTGACATCATGAAATTATTTGGTATACAAAATCTTCCTTACTTAACTTTTTTTCTTCAATCTACAACAGATATTAAACAAATAGATGATAATAAATCATTAGTAACATCTCATCCACTTTATGATTTTATTTTACATAGCCCATCAATTAGTTTTTTGAGTGTATGGTCAATTAGTCAGCGATGTTCAAACTATAATATACTTTCTCATATGAAAGTATCATTTGAATTAACAAATTTATTATTAACTAATTTAAATGATATTAAAAGATTACGAATTCTAAATGGTGATGATAATCAAGAAATTTATACGTATCAACGTATTTGTTCAGGAGATGCACCTAATATTATTTTACCAAAACCTGTTGCTATTTTTCGTTTTGAACCTAATGATTTACCAGAAGTAAGTGTATTGCTTACAAAATTACTTAGGAATACAATTAGGATGATGATGAAATCAGCTTTATTGTAGATAATAAGTCTTTAGAGACTATTGAAAAATCACATGCTTAGATTTTGGATCGATTTAAGATGATCTCTTTCTTGTCTTTCACACTTGGTTATGACACTGTGACAAACTGTTTGAATGTCATACTTTCGAGGCTAGTTCTTCTATATCATCACGTGTTTTCAGAATACTTCTATTCGCTTATTTGAGTGATTACGTGATATTAATGTATATTCTATGTTGAAATGCAACGCATGATACCAAAGCTCCTCGAATAGTGTCGCTTCATGTTTCATCGCTCTGTGTATATGTTACGGAAATCAAGAATATCAATGCAAAATCTACGTTGAAAGCTCTTTCAAAATGTGCATTCAAAAAAATTGTGTTAGCTCTTGTTTTTGAGTATTCGGTGAATTTTTGAACAGCGCTAAATCGTTCGCTGTAAAAGCATCTTGAAATGGTTGTTGCACAGATTTTTATGATTTATTGATGTTTATTTCAATTTATAGAGTTGATCTTTTCTTTTTCGAATCCCTCATTCAGTTGTTGACAAATCATGCTGAAAAATATAATGGCATTGTTTCAGATAATACTGAAAAAAAACCTAACTGTAGAGCTTAAGGTATTTTTCAGGGTAACTATGCTGTTCGCCGAAAGATACATCGCCGAAATACGGTTCGCCGAATTTCGGCAAACTGTATTTCGGTAATGTGGCAATCGTCAATCTATCATTTCGACGATATGACTTTCGACGATGTCACTTTCTGCGATGTAGTCATTGACAATGTACTTCAACGCTGAGATATACAATTGTTAAGTCAAAGTGTCTAGGTTGAGTTAGGAACTGACTTAAGTTAGGAACTAACTTAACTTAGGAATCAGGTCAGAAACTAAAACAAGCGCGGAATCTATCGCAAAACTCGATTGCAATTCATGATGTTTATGACATAGGTAAATAGCCGCTCTCTGTATGCGATTCATATTGCATGAGTGAACGAAAATAATGATTGCAGAAAGAATATATCTGATGATAAAGATCATCGAAAAAAATTCGGCGATATTTATTTCAATGATCTTTATATCGATGATTTTTATTCCGATGATATCTATTTCGGCGATCTTTCTTTTCGACAATGTTTGTTTCGGCGATCTCACTTTTCGACGATCTCGTTTTCGGCGATGAGCATCACATTCTTTTTCAGATTGATGTTCGGATTCAGGGTATCTGTAGACTACCTACATAAACGCTTTGACATACTTATATCCGCAATATTCTTGATTTCGCATAGTCATCACGCTAAATGTTTCTATAAAACTCGTCTAGATTCTTGACTGTTTTTACATGCAAATTTTACCAATGTTTTCTTTATCTTTACATTCTTTATTTTTCAAGATGTTAACTAAAGAAATCGTTTAATATTTTTGCTACTAGATTTGTGAAAAATAAAACACCCAAAAAAAGAACGAAACACAATGGAACACATATGAGATAATCTAATAGTATTGTGAGATCAGTTTCTTTTGCTGCAATCATTTCAAGCCACTTTTTACAGAATACATTTTACTGCTGTTCGAAAATTTTTTCAATACATAAAAACAAGACACGATTAAGTTATTATTGAACATCAACTTAGAAAGATTTTTCAACATAGATTCAGAGTAGACACTCTTGATTCTTTCAAAATATACTTTAACCTGTAAAAAATAAAGCAATATGTTTTCAGGAACTTTTGGATTGCTCGTTACATGATTGTAATGTCCTATAATTTGTGCAAATCACAAATTTAAAATAAATCTAACAATCTACGATGTGTTATAGTGGGAGCTAGAACGATAAGCACCAAAAAACTGAGCATGCATTACAATGAAGGTAAACATGACGTCTATTGAAAGATCAATAAGATACTTTCTTGAAAATTAGATTTGTTCTCCTGATATTTGTACTTAATATACTTCATACTATGTATTTGTCCTTTCAAAGCTTCAAATCATCCTTATGAAAGAGAAAAGAAACTTTCAATTCTATTCATTTGTTCTCATGTTTTTATTTATTGAAAGAAATCATTTTATAATAATTAGTTAACATTAAATAATTTCTGTTAAATTCTAAAACATATTTTAGTTTGAAACTATGGATGATTTAAGTGGTTATGTTGATCTTCTTAATCTCTGGTTATTTGATAAACTTTCTCAGCATTATCCTAAAATGAATTTAGAATTACTTAAAAGTGTTCATTTTCAAATAAAAATATCAAATAATACAGATTTAAGTCAAACTCCAGCTCATGCTATTCGTTTTGCACCATTAGAACATTTACTTGATGTTATTGATGAAAATGATATGCAATCATTCATAGAAGATATTCAACGTTATATTGATATACTTCTTGCAACAATGACTGGACGTAAAAATCTTTCATCAATTGTTTCAAAATATGAAAATCTCCTTTCGCTTCCAATGCCAAGTTGGGCTGGTGTTGGAGCTGTAAGTTATATTCCGAGTCACATAAAGTCATCAGAAATAAATGAAGCATCAATCAATGAAATAAATACAATTCAAGCCGAATTAGCAAGACAATTACAAACACATGATACAGCATTTTCATTAGGTGGTGGAATAGATGAACATGAATCCATGTTTTATTTACGTTTAGGAATGATAAGAAAATCTGAAGATCTTGATGTGTTATTAAACAAAATTTTAAATGCTGGTAAAGAAACAGAAACATCATTAAAATATGTTGAAGATATGGCAGAAAAAATTAAAACAGGAATTGAAAAAGTTCAAAAAGATTTACACGATGAAAATCTACAATTATTTGCTCAAGAGGGTCTTTTAAGACATTTACCATTAGTTTCAAGTAATAATCTAATAAAGAACCCTATAGGATAAGATAGTCACTCTTCATTTGAAAAGTTACGCATATCTTTTTATAGAGCAACTCGTGCCACATCGAATGGTTTACAGGAAATTCATTTTTCATTAAGGATTAATGTCGTAAGAAACCATGTACTAATTGAAAGTATTACAGCAATTCTAATCGATATGACCAAAAATATTAGGACTCAGTATGTATCTGAACCAACCTGTATTAAATTTCGTGTAGAGCCATTTCAGTAGCTTTTTTGTCTCGTCTTCAACCGTATATATTCAATAATAGTTTTCTTCCTACTCAAAACAGTAGAATCATTACTAATTAGTTTCTGTAATTTCAGGTTTTTATGATGTTTTGAATCGTTCGATACCGCTCATTACGACAAATACGAGTAACTGTACAAGTTTCTCAGAAATAATATGCCACTAACCTGTATAAATATACGAATTGATTGTCTTCTCAGTTGATGTGCGTCATAGTCAAATCGGTCAATGAATATCTTTAAAAAAGGTCAATATTTTGGTTGCTCAGAACAGAAAAGTATGAGTTATGTGATAAATACTTTTTGAATGAAAAACTTTATATTTATTAAGAATAAGTTTATTATGCACTATCATTTGATATATACGGACCTTCAGAAAATAGCAAAAATTGTTTGCTTTCAGATCCCTAGAGGGGATACGGGAGTGACTATTATAAGGATTAGTTTGTGTATTATTTTGTTCCTTACGAATTTAGATTCTGAATATCCGGTTGAGATTAGCATATGAAGCTCTGTTAGATTCAATATAGGATGAATACTTTATGAGCGTTAATAATTTTTCATATTCCCGTAGTGCCCTCGAGGAATCTGAAGGTGAAAAGTTTTTTTGACACTTTCAAAAGGTTTATATGTGTCGAATAATAGGGTACGATGAACTTATTACTAATAGCTAAGAACTCTTTCATTCAGAAAGTATTTATAGCAAAACCCATGTACTGTTTTTGGCATTAGATCTCGAATAATTGGCGGTTTTGCACGACTGATTGATTGGTTTGACGATGGCACACATAAATTCAGCTAACAACCAGTTGATATTTTTATAGAGCTTTGTGGCCGACAATTTCTGAGAGTGACATGGTTGGTCGCATTTGTCCTTAGGAGGAGTATCAAACAATTTAAAACATCGTAACAGTCAAAAATGACAAAACTCTATTGAAGTATCCATAAACAAAATATAATCAATCACAATTACCATAGTATCTCTTAATTGGGATATGGTTTTTCATAACATTAAAATTTGATTGCGAAGTAATTTTCTATTTGCCGTTCGATGTCGCATGAGTTACTCTACAGAACAGTATCGATGGCTTTTCGAATTAAGGATGGTCATCTTAGCCAACACAACCTCTATCAAAAACTTTTTTTTTAAATTGATATTATTTTTTAGGTATAATGTCATGGTGGAGTCCATCTCAATCAACATCACCATTAGCAATAAAAGGTCGATCATTTGATTTGAATTCTGGTCGAATTGAATCAACTGAAGATACATATGTATATCGAATGCAAATTAAAAAACAATCTCCTCATGCACCAACGCATAATCATGAGGAAACTACGCCGATTAATTCAAATAATGTAGAAAATCCAACTGAATCAAATACTAACCAATAATCTGTGATATGCATTTTTAATTCTATGTTCAGTCGAACAAATCAAAAGATTTTTACTTGACTATTCTACTTCTTCTTCTCTCTTTTTCTTATAGCTTCGTTCAGTGTCGACCTTAACAATTAGGTTCTTTTTTTTGTTATAATTTATGTTTACCTCTATAATAAATTATTCAAACTATTCCATATGTTCCGTATATTAAACTTGAATTCTTTTTTCTTATGAATTATAACTCTAAATACATTATATGAGCATATACTGTATTAACTCGAAGATAAAACATTACATTGCATGATGCTTATAATATCCTAAAATAAGTGTATTCGCCATAGTAATATTATTATATGCAACGGAAATGATGTACTTTCTGATTATCTAAGTCTAACATGACATACACACAGTCGAGAATTCATCTATTTAACTCCTTGTTCGGATGCAAAATCTGTTTTATGCATTATTTTCAAACTAGACTTGTCAAATTACTCATATATTTGACATTATATTATTGACAGTAAAAACAAATCATTTGTTCTTTTGCTATGATTACAGAATGTTTCCGAAAAATCAGAATATATTTTGTCTATCTTGTAGTGCTTGAATGAAAATAATATATCATGGCACTTAGAATGATGTTTTTTGTTGTTTCCGAAGATCGATTTTTTATTACATGTTTGTGATTTATTGAAAATTTATTTGTGTTATTCAACTACAGAAAGGCATGATTCTTTTAGCGACATTTGATGTTAGTTTTCCATATATAACCCAAATCATTGATTAATTCAGATCTAATAGAATTCTCGATTATATGCTTGTGAATTCATTCAATAGCGTCAATCTCTACATACAAAATAATCATATGTCAATTGTTTATTCAAATTACTTTGATGTTTAGTACTCTCGAAATTTGTACTAACTAATTATGATCAGAACTAGATGACTTATCTTGACAATGAAAAGAAATTTTTTAATATTTTCCGAATGAAATCATGAACTTCTGTTGTTACATAAAGAATAATCATCATTAAATTAAAAAAAATATAATAAAATCAGTTCGGAAAAAAAATGCTTAGCTTTTGAACGTTTGAAATATTACAATTAGATTTTCTTTTATGAACTAATATTGATTGTGAATCGGTGAGAACGACTATTGATTTCCGTCCCGTGCAAAAGATTTTAACAAAAAGCGGAACAAGTAATTGGCTTTTGCTATTCACATGCATTGAAGCAAATACAAGGAAATTTTTTTTCACGCTTTGTCTTATTGAGATAACAATACATGTTGTGTATTGATTGAAGTCATAGTTTCATGTATATATTTTATTATGAATTCATATGACATGTTCTTTCGTGACATGCGCTCCACTTCAATATGATCCAAATAAATCTTGTATATATGGTATTTCTAGAAATGATTTCTTAAGTATATAACATCTTAATGTCATATTCGATCTGTATTAATGTCATTAGTTTGTCGGTTTTCGTTTTATTCTGCATCATCATTTTCTTTCATGATATCATATATTATCTTTTGGATGTTGAAAAATAAAACTTGTATTGTGCAAGAATCAATACCGAAACATAATTTCTTGTGTTGTCTTATAAGAAGAACAGAAAAATCGATTTATTTTAATCATCTTCTTAAAAGATGATGGAACATCCGTTTTGTTCTTCCGACAAGGTCCTGTGTATGCTTTGTCGATAAAAGATTACAATGATGTTGTTTATATCCGTTTTCAGAAGCCAAAAAAAAATTTCTTCTTTTGTTATCATTTTAATTGGTTTTGTTCTTATGCTAATGTGGATAGAAAAATCTCTCGTCTATGATTGATTACGCAAAATTCATTAAAGCTTAAGAAAGATAATTAAATGGCAACCATTGAGAAATAATCTTAAATGCATTTATAATGTTATACTGCAGATGAGATATCAAACGTGCGGTGAACACTTTGTGTGAATAATTAATAAATATAAGAAAAGAAAAAAGCACTGACGCGACAACTAAAAAAGAATCAGAAGCAAAAACGACAGATTTTGACGACATAAGATACATATATATTTAAAAAAGAGAAAGAGATGGATCATCACCATCCGCCCATTATCATTAACGTCGTTGATAGGAGACAAAAAAAAGAAGAAGAAGATTCTTCCTTTTTTTTGCTATGTGAATGGCAACATATATGAAGAGAGAAGGAGAGAAAAATCCGGGAAAAGAGAAATCTGGAAATGAACAAAAATGAAAATAAAAAAATAACAAATCTGCTACAGAGTGTGTGATACATCGTTGCAGCTCGTCTATTCTTTTTCTTTTCTTCTGCGTCTTCCTAGTTTTTTTTCTCATTGTTTTTCTATCGACATCTATTTTCTTTAAAACTCTGGCAACATATACGTAGAGATAAATTTCTATAAATACCCTATCAGATGGCCCAATATAATCAATGATATCGATGAATGATCCATCTCCGGGCTGACGCGTAGTCAGTCATGTATTTATCGTAATGTACCATGCTTCTAACACAATTACTATTAACTTTTATGCTTGGAATTAACAATCAAGTCGTTTCTTTTGTGTCACAAACAGCAACAATAGAAGCGACTGATTTAGAAGATGGTCATCCAAATCATCAACTATGGAACAAAATGCCTGATACAGGACGTCATTCATTTTCCAATCGGTAGGTTTAAAATCACTATCTATCAATTTATCTATTTTCTATTCATTCTTATATGCTCGAGGCTTTTTACTTTAATGAAAGAAATATAGGACAAAAAGAATTTCAGATGACACGCGTATGAAGACAAATAGTGTTGATAATTTGATCATGTGAAAATGTTCTAAACTTATGTCACGTAATATATTATCAAGTGAAATAGAACAAGAATAACAAATCTCTCTTTTTCTTTATTCCTTACAAATTCATCATTAATTAATATTTAAAAATCAATATGACATATTATTATTCTACTTAATTAGATAACATACATGCTGAGCAATTATCTGATCAGTTGCTAGAATTAGTTAGTAGTGATAATAGATGCACTATCGAACTAAAATAGGAATAGGAAGAGAAGAAAAAAGAAAAAAAAAGCTCCCACTGATGCGATCATTACTTGAAGGTTGTAATTCATACAATCAGGATATTCAATGCCATTGAAAACACTACCTACTAGTTTTTCTATCTTGATTCTCTTGAGATAATCATTAATAAGAGAGTATAAAAGATATTCTAGCATGAAATATAATAGAGATGAACTATTCTTTCTCATTACACAAAGTAGCAATTAGATATGGAAGGTTTGCTTTATTCGTTTAGTATATATGCAATTATATGTTAAGATACTGCCATTATTCTTTTTACACAGAAGAACAAGCATCTAATAAGAGTACTTACTATTCGTGGATGTTATACTATAATTCTGTTCAATAATATTCTCTTATAAGATCGTTATTGTATTGCTTTAATTCTTTCTTTGTTTTCATGATTGTTAAAGATTCATCATCAACATATATTTCTTTTTCTATATTCATCCTAGTTTGTTTTTTTGCTGTCACTATTTTATCATCAGAGCGATGCACAATAGATTTATACATATCATTGACATGCGTCTATTCCGTTCCATTACGATTGAATCAATTATGATACTATAGTATGTGTATACGAAACATTCTTATGCTAATCGTAACGTAATCATAATAAAAGGGACATATGACAACAAGTACCAAACGATATAAACAGAGCGCATCGGCATCCGTTTCGTGATTACAACAACATCGTCAATAAATATAAATTAGATTACTAAAAAAAAAAAGTCTGATTGAGAAACGAAAAGAACCAATGAGAATTGAAGATATTTTCACTTATTCTAACCGATCTATTCTATCTAATAACAACAGAAATGATCTATATTTTCTTTCATACGACAGTAGAAATCCAGATTTGTGCAACTCATTACCTTGTTTCTCTTCATCATAAAAGCATAGACGGGCAAAATAGATTTGCCTTGAGGGACTTGAAAGAAACGTGTTGAAGATGCTGTTTATGAGTCTCTCAATCTTTATGGATGATTTTTACATTCGTTTACACCCATTTCATCGATGTCGTCATCCTCTCATTCATTAAACAGTGCAAGCGTTACGACCCGCCCAAAGTTTTGTTTTTTTTTCTTTTTCTATTTATACACAGGAAATGTTGATCTTCATCCGTAAAGACGACAAAAAATAAGAAGAAGAAAAAAAAAGTGAACATTTTATGAAAATGTCGACAAAGAAACGTAATCGTATATTATAGTTGCTTGCTCACACTAAGAATGGAATAGTGTTGATGCAAATTGATTTTGAGCATGACGCTCAAGTACAATGCAAAGAGAAAGTTGCAACGAGAAAAAAAATATAGAGAGGAACGACTAAACTATAAGAAGGAGGGTAAAAGCAAAAACTCTAATCAATGAATACATCGAAAAATCCTTTTTATTGAGGATGTAATATTATGAAGCAACTCTAAGAAAGAAATATACTACGGTGAATAAGAACAGAAAAATGAGAGCGAGAAAAAAAAGACCAGAAGAAAAGAAGTAGTTAACAATAGACGAGTATTGGTAAAGAGTTGTTCTTAAATGGCTGAATTAAAACTTACACTTGGCAATGTTCATCAACATCATTAATGATTCTCATTAGTATTATATCCGTATTTATTTTAAATATATTTCTATATCATAGTCCAATATATGGTCAAGATTTATGGATAGATAAGAACAAAGAAGATAACATCGAAAAGTGGGTCTTACTTTTTGTTTTGTGTTGTTCTCATTATAAATTTAGTTTCATTTGGTATTGATTTACTGAGAAAAAAAAAGATTAGTAAACAATAGAATATAAAACGATAATAAAAAACATATGCAGATAATAATTATATTGTAATGAATTCTAAGTATGTGATGCAATTAATGAACTAAATGCGTGCAAAATATTCTCTCTATCTTATGAATTTTTGTTTGGAAGAACCTATATGTATAAACAATTTGTTCTTAATTATCAAAGAATAATTTAATCTACATAAACAAGCAATCTTGCCTTAGGAATTTACTGTATACAGTCTTTTACTTGAAAATATTTACTTTATGTTAGTATATATATATATTAGTTTGGTATAGAGTAGGTTGAGAAGGTCCAAGGCTACATATTTCTATGCTAGTGTTGATATAAATGGAAACATTAATTGAATATTGTCAGAAGATATTTATCCGACAACTTAGACAAGGATGATATATACGGTTAATATTAGCTATTTTTTTTAATAGAATATTTCAACGAATATTAATAGAATCAATAGAAAGATTGAGAAGATGTGGATAGTGCATAGATTTATTGCTCTTCTAGTACTCATGAAGAGATGAGTTGGCAAGTATTAGACGAAAAAGCAGCACGGAATCAACTTCCTGTTGATTGACTTGATTAAAACAACGGAAATATATTATTCTAAAGCTTTGTTTGACTTTTTACATGTAACTTTTTTTTTTCGTTCTTGACTATATATTTAATTACTATGGCACCAGATGCTATTTATTCTAATAAAACTTCTTTTGATTGGAGATATATAAGTATATGAAGTAACAAGTGTGGATTATTTTTTGAACTCGAGTTGAATAGGGAAAGCAATGTGTAAGATGAATTGATTGAATGAAGAAAAAATGCTTTACTGAACATAAATAGTAGAACATTACTTTACATGTCATATTGAGCGTTTGTTTGTTGTTCAATTAGTTTTGATTTTATATGCCATTACAAAAAAAAAAACGCCTAAATAGATGTTCTTATACTCTCGTTTTCGTTGAAGGATAATAAAAGTCATCATGTCTTCGTCAGTTGCTCCCTCTTTTTTCTGTCTCTGTCTCTGTCTCTCTCTTGGTGTGTGTATGTGTTTTTTATTTTATCACTTGCCAGTTGTTGGTACCCGTCAGTTTTTGCTGTCTTCAACTTTTTGCTTTTATGTCGTCTGAATACTGAGAATAAATATACATGTCAGTATCAAAATTACTAAATGTCAGTCAACCAGTCACACAAGTCTTGATTCTCTTGAGATAGACACGCACTTACATCAAGTAAGAAGCTAGAACATCTAGAATAATAGATTAAATTTCATAATGATACATTAGCTAAGTATTTATTTATCCTTCGTACTTTGAAATGCCATTATCGTCAGCATCGATATATCGTCAACATTGGGTATCGTCTATGTATATTAGATAAGACAGATATTTCTGTTGTTTCATCGTTATCGATAAAGAAGTTTTTGGCAGTTACTTGCTGTGTGTATATTCGTTGATCGATGTTATATGTTCTTATCGAAAAAAGATTCAACAACAAACTTATATTATCGATAATCTAGCGTGTTTATCACAAAACACAAACAATGAAACTACATACTGGTTTGCATATTTTACTAACAATCTTCACACTTATTTCTAGTGCAAATTTCTTGCGCAGCGACTCGTCAATAAATACAGTAGAAGATTTTCTTGATACACTTATCAATTCAAGTCATTATGATAGACGTATTCGGCCATTTTTCGATCAACATAGTGAGTAATTTATGAAACAATCATTCTTTTTTTTTGGAATTTTTTTTCGATTGTAGAAGCATGTAATGTGACTATGACTATTCATATTAATACAATTTCAGCTATCAATGAAGTTAATATGGTAAGACAGAAGTAATAATATTTGTGTCAATTAGTTTTCTCTTTTTTTTCTTAGGATTATAATACAGATTTAATTTTTCGTCAATCATGGTATGATCCCAGATTGAATTATTCTGGCACAGAATGGGCAAAAAAATCACCAGAGATTACATTACATTATTCACTTATTGATCGTATTTGGGTGCCTGATTCATTTTTCCGTAATGCTAAGGAAGGTAAACGTAGTGATATAACAGTACCTAATCGATTGATTCGTATTCATCGTGATGGAAAAGTACTTTATAGTCAAAGGTTTGTTTAGAAATAAAATAAAACTTGGAAATTTTATTTGTTCTCTTCTCTAGACTTTTACTTAAACTTGATTGTCAAATGAAATTACAAAAATTTCCACTTGATAATCAAACATGTGTCGTTAATATTGGCAGCTGTATGTGTTTTTTTCAATTTAATCAAAAAAGAAAAAGAAATTACTAAGTAAAACTTTTATTTACTATTTTTTTAGATGCTTTTGCCACCAATGATTTAGCATTTTATTGGGATGAAACTCCCAATACAAGTGCTATTCGAGTTAATGAAGACCTTGAAATGCCCGATTTCGTGTTAAGTAATTTTGAACAACGATATTGCAATCGAACAACAGCAACAGGTTAGATATGTCTTCTTTGTTTGTTCATTTAACTTTAAAAAAAAAAAACTTTCTTCATTCGTGTTACTTTTAATTATGTGGTGAATATATTAAAATTTTGTTTTGTAATAAGTTTTTGCTCGACTCGCTCGTAGGCACATTTGCATGTATCGAAGTGCATCTCTCATTACAACGCAACATCAATTTATATTTACAACAGCTTTATTTACCATCAACATTAATTGTTGCTTTATCGTTCATCGCATTCTGGATCGACTATAAATCCCATCCTGCACGAACGTTATTGAGTCTACTCAGCATTGTTACTGTAACAACAAAGGCTGAAGGTACAAAAAAATATTCTTTTTCTTTTTACTTCGATTAGAAACCTAAAACACACATATACACCCGTTCGCATTTTCTGCTTGCACTGTTTTTTTTTGATTCACCATACTGACATCTATGCACTTCATATCATATAATCATTTTATTATATATGATCTATTTGATACAATTATATATTATTATTGTTAGTAGTAAAGTACGCAAATGAAGAAAGTTTTTTGTTTTTTTTATTCAATTCGTTGACATAATTAGACGATCAATTTTCTAGGCAGTTTTACATGCCTTCTTGTTGTTCTTCATTTAAAACGTTTATTTGGTTATTATCTTGGTGAGTTTAGTCGTCTTATTTTTATATGAGGAATAATTTGAGAAAGTTAAATTTCTATAGTTCAAGTTTATATTCCATCAATGCTCATTGTTATTCTTTCTTTTGTTTCATTCTGGATCGACCATAAGTCGGTAAGGTCGAAAACCAGAATAGAACTAATATTTGTCATCAATATATTCAGGTTCCAGCTAGAATTTCAGTCGGTCTTTTAACTGTTCTTACAGTTACTACTCAAAGCTCAGGTAACAAAATAAAACAAATATACATAATAATAACAAGAAATAATTCTCATTAACATACACCTTTTCACACCATGCTCACTGCTTTTTTCTTCATTTCATTGAATGCTTATTTGCTTATAATATAGCCTTAGCCAATAAGAGAATGCAAACCTTCTCTAAAAACTCTTTTTGGCTATGGATCTAGCTTATTGCTTTCTAACCTTTATCCATAAATATGATTGATATCCTATTATATTATTTATCTACTATTTAGGTATTCGATCACAATTACCACGTGTATCATATATAAAAGCAATTGATGTCTGGATGTCAGCATGTCTTGTTTTTGTCTTCGCTGGTTTACTTGAATATGCACTTGTTAATGTTATTGCTCGTAAAGGTGAATTAAAACAACAAGTTCGTTTTTCTCGAGAAGTAAGTTTAATTTGTTTTATTTATTATTATTTGTTGTATATAAATGTGTGATTACATTTATTTCGAAAATATTATTATAGAAAAAAAAATTGGACAGAACAGCAAAAGTAACTTTAATTCAAAATCTACAGGATGGCTCATCTTTTGCTACAGAGAGAGTAAATTAATTTCTTTTAGTTAATAGAATTTTTCCCTTTAAGCTTCTTCTTATATTTTCTCACATCCACACATCTACACATATATACACATACACGTTTTTATTATCACAATATTTTTTTTATTTCATTATATAAATGTATTAGTTTGAAATAGATTTATTTATTTTTGCATAAATTATCTCTGTATACATATTAATTTAAAGGTCATTGGTAATCGTCTTGCTCAAGTACATTTCTATAAAAAAGATGATACACATCATCCTAACACTGAAACAACGGAAACACTCGCTCGTAAAGCAAGTGCTGCCGATAAAAATTTAACTAGTGGAAATACCGCTAGTTCACTTATTCAGAATTCATCAATTTCCAATACTACTGCACCTTCACCAACACCACAGGTTATCTTGTCACCACCAGCACCGGTACAGAAAACTGCTAAACCTGTTCGTGACACTGCACAATTAGTGAGTTGACAAATAGAAAGAAAACAATTGCAAAAAAAGTTTTTTTTTCTTTATTCAAATTAAGGTCGATCTTGTCTCAGCTATTCTTTTTCCTGTTGCCTTTATTGTATTCAATATTATTTATTGGTAAGACTAATTTTAATTTAAAAAACACTAAAACAAGTTTCTTTTTTTATAAATCAATTTTAGGATGGTTTATCTTAATATGCAAGTTGAATATATTTTGAAATAAGACCAACTACGCACAATTAGAAATCTAGTAACAACGGGAAAAAGAACAGTTGAATTGTAGAATGTTTCTTTTTTATTTGTATAAATTAATTGAAAAAAACTATTCAACGATGTTGTTTCGTTCTCCCTTCTTTTTTTTATAAAAATTATTGTGGAACAGTATGTCTTCATTTTTTTTTGTGATACATTATGTATGTATTGAATATCTTGATAGACAATATTGTCGATCTATTTAAGTTTCTCTTCAGTATTTTGATTATGCTCATCGAAATAGAGATATTTGAAATGAAGGATCGATATGATCTGCAAGGTTTTTCTCTTTTGTAAATCAAGATGCAAGTTGTATGGATTGATTCCTTGGTGATGTACTCATTTCAAAACTTCATTGTTATCTTGAAGTCTACCTAAATTCATACATAGAAAAATTACAAACAAATCGATATTTCTATTTTATTTAAGCTATTCATTGATGTACTATAGGTCTCTAAATGCTCTTCTTCGTAAAATTTTATGCGTTAGTTTCCATAGACGAAATGTAAAGGCATAAAATATCAAGTATCAAATTGTCAGCATTGCGTATAACTGAAAAAAATTATAGATGAAGTTACTTCATTGTAGAGCAGTAGAAATATGTTGATGTGTTCATATATATATTTATATAATTGTCTATGGATAATAAGCGGAGAAATTTGTCTCCTCTTATTATCTTTTTCTTTCTTTCGTGGTTTAAAAGGTTTAAAACTGCTATTGGGAGATAACTAATGGAGACTTAAATAAGATGAAACATTATGCCTATAACATTGTTGGTGTTTCAGGATCGATGTAAGCTCACAGCTGTATTTTTTCTTTTGTTAGATCTATTCATGATTTTTGTAAAAGAATATTATACTCCTATTAGAGACTAGAGATTATAGATGACGAATGATGCAAGAGAACAAATGTTAATGTTGTATTAGACAAGCAACTGTAAAGTGATTCCATGATAACAACAAAGGGTTAAGAGTTCCTGATTTCAGAACGGAAAGATTATCCTAATGATAAACTCTTTTAAAACTAGATGACATTCGAGTTCCACTTGACTGTGAAATGTCTTGCAAAGATTCGTATGTCAATTATTGATAAAAATCGAGATCTTATCAAAACTTGTCATGGTGATCTCATGAGGGATCAAAGTGTAGAATACATAAACTCTGACTGTCATAAATTTATGGTATATTATTAAAAGGGTTAATAGAAATTATTTAACAAAATGTCAAACAAATGCGTAAATCAAAATTATAACAGATGTTTGGATTTCGAAGTCTTATTCTACTAATCCAGAGATGGGCAAGTCAAGTTATATTTTGATTTGAAACAAGTCAAGTCAAGTCAAGTCAAGTCAGAGTTGACTTGAGAAATTTTTGGATGACTTGACTTGACTTATGACTTGGCCTTCAAAATCAAGTCACAAGTTAAGTAAAAAAATGGAGATATTTTTGCAATTTATGCGTCTAATTCTTGTCTTCATTAAAAGTACCTATGAGAGCAGAAGCACAGAAAAAGAAATTTTTTCATGTACTTCAGATAAGCGGCGGCCAGATGAGAATATATAGTCATTTTTTGACTTGACTTGACTTGAAAAGTGTTGTGACTTGACTGGACTTGATTGAATAATTTTTTGGTGATTAATGACTTGACTTGACTTGAACCTTAAAAACCTTTGACTTGCCCATCTCTGTATTAATCCATTAGTTTTCTTGAACATTGTTATACTGGAGAAAAAATCTTATTCATATTTTCAGATACATCTTCAATACATAACTTATTTTTTCCTAATTATAATATATACCAAAAATGTCATAGGGAGCGGCAAATATCATTTTTTTTCTTCATTCCAACCATCAAGTTAGTCTGCTATACACATTGGTTTAATTATTCAGTATATTTTCGCATACAACTTCCTTTCTCTCGACGAACATTGACGCATACTATTGAGTTTTGCTTAAATTTAGAATTCAATTAGTTCATACTTTTTCTTATTTCGATCTTATTCTGACTCTATTAGATTAATAATATTACTGCTCCACTGATTCATATTTATTATAAGATCCTTCCACTGCGTTAGATATCAAAGCCTGCAATATTTACACAAGTTAGAATCTGCAGAGTTCTAGATTGATCTGTGCACTGTTATTACTTACGTACCTTTTTCAGCTGCTATGAAAACGTATTCAATAATATTTGTCCTTCCTCCTCCAACTCTCGATCGCTAGGGCTGTGGGAGTCAGAAAAGCCTTGATTTAAACTTAAATTCACTAATTTCTTTGAAAGTATACATGAGCTCCGCAAAACAAATAATTATTTCTACCATTGAACACGAAACGTTTTTCTCCAAATGATATTTACTTTTTATGGCCTATTATCAGTTGTATTCATAGCTGTCATATATGAAATGAAAGTGGCGGCTAACTTTTGTTGCTATCTTCATTGTAATTATGTCGAAGTTTGAAAAAATTAATCTCAAAATATTTTGCTTTTTTGGATGATTTTCTCGCAGAAAATAGAACGTTCTCACAAAGATAGGAAAATGGATGATATCGATTCGAAAATGATATATTATCCTGACGTGTGAATGAGTATTTTCTGATGTTCTGTTTTCAAGATAATCGCGACGGAAAATGTCAACCTTTGATCCGTATGTTGAGGAAACAAATCACATTGGTCGACATAAATACTGCTGTTTGCATCGCTAAAAAGATATGAAGAACTACAGTATTTATTAATGAGGCGCAAAGTAAAGCAACTATAGAGTTCTTTGTGAACTTTTTTTCTTTCTTCCCTGACGTGCGCATTGAAAGTTTGTATTTTTGGTCGAGACAATGCCACATACGCAACATTAGAAAATATTTGTTTCAATGCAGAATGAAAATATCGATATTAAAGTGATGTGTTCTATTTTTTAATCTTTAGTAGAAAGTTTCGTTTGTTTGCAAAGAGTACGGTAAAAAGGCAAAATTTTGCTAGACTTAGTTTTTTCTTTTCAAGATGCAATATGATTGGAATAAAAATAACAAGGAAATAGAACTGTGACAAAGCTGATACTACGTGAATCGAAGTGATTGCAATATTCGATATTTTGCAAATATCTCAACATAGACAAATCCTATAATGTTGGATTTTTTGTTTAAAGATGCATTATCAAAGTCTCTACAAAAATGGGTATAAAACATTTATTTGAACTCTTTTACTGATTTTCTTATAAAGCTAAAACTAAAGCAACATATCATGCTTGAATATCATGTTATTGTCAGAGAAACGAATACTTTTGTGTTATTTCAAACAAATTTTTGTATGATATACTCTTTAAAAGATTTGTTGAAGTAAATTGATACAAAAATCATGAATGTTCATGAAACATGTGACTACTATTATTATGTTTGTACAAATGTACTGATTTTTTGAAGAAAGGAACTGATCACTTTGCAAACATAACTCAAATCAATTATTTGGCGTGCTTCATTTATTTGTCTCTATGAATTTTCTCGTAATTTAACTTCTTGATAATCAACGTTGTTATTGACATGATCCTATAAAGAATAACTTAATGAATATTAGTCCGATGAATTCAAAACATACTTATCTTTAAGGGTAGTCTTAAGATTTCTGAAGATTTTTTTGCTCATTGCTATAATGAATAATAACAACAACACGAAGATCATCATTCTTCCTCATTGAAAAAAGTTATCAGCATAATTTAAAAGACTCTTGTATGCAAAGGTATTAGGGAACCTATGACAATTATCAATGTTACAGGATTTGTCTATGTTGAGATATTTATAAAATATTCGATGTTATAATTATATGATCTCAACCGCTATTTTATGTGTTAGAAATTTTTGTCGAAGTATTTATAGAAGTTTCAAAGTTATAGACGCCATATATCTTATTTTATTGCTAAGGACTCTATTTGAAACACTAACATCTTTTACTATAACTTTCTTCTTTTAAATTTCTCGACGCACATCATCAAAAATCGTTAGGTTCTATCGCATTTATCTCGAACTATTTGTATGACGTTCCGTTTGTTTACAGAGAGACCGACCAGATGGCAGCTTTTTACGTGTAATTAGCTACTTTCAAACTTCGAGATAACAGCAATAAAAGTTAGCTGTCACTGTCTTGAAACAAGTGATCAGTTGATATTATTCCATTAAGAACAAATATAAAATTGTTAATAAGGTTTCTTAAAAACGAATGTCCCAATGACTATTATACGGGAGATTTAGAAAATAACTAATAATTTATTCAACGACAGGAAATATTAGATACGAGTAAAAATACGAAAATGTAGTGAACTCTTCTGATGAAGCATGAAGCCTTACACGAGAATCCATAATTGTTTTAAAGTATTCTCATAATACAGTAGTCAAAAAAGTCTCTCTGCTCGATGAAAAGTATCTAATTTTTAATTTTTTGGTCTGATAGTTTGGCTACAAATAGATTATTTTGGATTCTGATCGCAAGCACTAATTCAGACTTGGTCCATCATCATACAAAGGATTTAGAAGATTAAAATAGACATTTTTTTCAGACTAGGATATCTCAACATAGAAAACAAAGTGTGTAACATTAGACTCCTCATTCAATAGCTCAATGCCGCTTCTATCATCAATAAAAATAACATGTCAAAACAGTTTTAGTTTGCGTGATTTATGAAGTAGCTTTTGGATAATCTTCGTATGGCAGTCGATGGGAATCGTCGAAAAGTGCCCGATTTCTTCGACTAATTTTAACTATTCGCCTTGAAATTTTCTTCAATTATACTGTTCTATTCTAATCAAGTTTCTCTTGTAAAGTTCATGATTACAGCTGCCCATGGAGAAGAGATCCATGCTGAGATCGTCCAAGACAAGCAAGACCTTTCTTCGACTGAAGATTAAAGTAAACTGAAGCGTCCTATCTGTAATATAACATAGACATGTAAGTTTTTATTTTGCTATAAGTAAATGGAGGCTAATGCATTTAAATAGTAGAAGACCCAGACAAATGTCAAAAAAGCCTCTTTCGAGCTCTAAGAAAAAAAAACATGTTTTCATTGTAAATCCTGTGCATTAAGGTCTATCGACCTCGGTTTCCTGCTTGTGACTATGATTAACCAAACTCTAGTTGTAGTCAAATTATGAGACAAAAGAATTGAAGTTTATACACTTTTTATCCAGTAGAAAGACTTCTTGCGATTATTGTGCTAAATAATGTTCCTTATTTTGATAATTCTATTAACTGTGGTTTAAGCTTTTCGTAACATTTTGATAAATTTAAAATGTCAATTTCAACATTCAATTACTATTTATCAGCGACGTCATCTACAAATCCATTCCATAGGATAAGTCTTTCATTTTTCAAATGCCACTGTCATCCTCACGCAGTGCTATATGTGACTAAATCACATGTCTTCAAATTAAGGTTTTCAGAAAGTGAAATAGGAACAACACCTGTGATAAATATACGACTAACTCAATAAGGTGATTGATCGAAGCGTACTTGTTTTCTGATTTCAATAAAACGGAAATATCTTTTGGAGAAAAGTGTTTCGTATTCAATGGTAGAAACGATCATTCGTTTTTGACAAGATATCGGTTTTCTGAAAGACCGAGTTCGAAGCTTCAGAACACATTGAACTATAAAACAATCCTATATCAGAAAATAAGCGCTCACTATCATCTTCACCAAAGATGATTCTTAATTATAGATATATGTGTGTCTATTATATCAAACAATTTATTTGTATCTTTAATATAGTCAAGCATACTTCATTCTTTTATTATGCTAATCACAACCAGAGTCGTAAGATGAAAAGTTTAATTCCTTATACGTCAATTGAACTTTGATTCTTTTATTCAAAGTATATTTACATTGATAATAAACTATAAAATCTATTGATAATAAGAAAAATAATGACTTTATAGTTTATTTTATTGTTCATTCAATGATTCACCATTTCCAATTTTATTCATAAGATCTGCTCGATTTTTTTCATCTTTACGTTTCATTGATCGACGTCGTTTATAAGGTGTCCAAAATGTCCAAAGTAATATGAAGACTTGATAAAGACAAAATATAATAGATAAAATATAAAAACCATAACGATCTATATGACAAATATAATATTCTGGATAAAGTGAAAGCTGAAGATCTTGTATATTATTTGGTGTTAAATGTGAAGCTAAATATATCTGATTATAATATAAATAACTAACTACACCATGGAAAACATTTATTATACATAAAGCAACTATAGATGCTATGGCATAAACTAAAAATGAAAATAATTCTTCATATAAAAAAAAGGCGACATTATTTTAATTTACTATCTAATGCTGTTAAATATGATATTGTTCTAAATAGAAATAGAAAAGAAACGAAGTTATCAAAGAAAAATCTTTTTTATCTTTCTTTCTTACTACTTACGGAAGTGATTTATTAACAACCCATCGAAATGTAACAGATGTTAATAAAAGAGTACATGTGATCTGTAAACGGCCATGAGCATTTGATGGTGGTATTGAAAATGTACAAAGAGATGCTGATGTTATAAGAAAAATTAAAAAATATGCATTCCTATTAAAAAAGTATACATGTATCTTATTTTAATAAAAACCAAAAAAAGTGATCAGTGCAATTCCAGCAAGATTAAAATATGAAATACGATGTAACTTCTGTTGCTAATGATCAAAAGAACATTTTATTCTATCTATTTCGAGACACATTGTTTCACCATCATTTGAATGTACTGAGTTCAGAATACCCTATTACTAATATATCACAGAAACCATTGGGTACTTCCTAGATTTTTTAGCACTTGACTACAAAATGCTTCTTAGTCCCACAGCTGATGAATCGCTATCAATTCGAGACTACGTGCATAATGTAGACCCACATGAGCTATGAATATCCTGAAAAGAGTTTGCACCTTTATTTTATTGCTGTGTAGATACTACATTTTTACGGTATATTATTAATGAACGCCGTGGTCTCTCTCAAGAACATCAGAAATACTGTTTTTCAACTTTCGATTTGAATCTTTTCATATAGATAGACTTTAATAAGAGTTATTTATTCTGAAAGTTTCAAGTCTTTTTGTTTGTTATTGTTCTAAGATAGGAATGTAACATGTGCCAGTGTCTATGAGTGACATAACAGATATGATTTTACTCTGACTGTATTTTAGGATAGAAACAACGAAAAAAATCTGAAACTTTTTCAAGAGACTATTATCAATAGAGCCGATCTCTTTGGTAAGCTTCAAGTCGAAATTCAAAAATGATTTTTCTCAGTGTTTCCGAGAGAGATCACGGCATAGACCTCAAAAGCATCCGTAAAAGTTAGAGATGTGGTCATGGGGAGTATACACCTTCTACTTTCAAAAGATTTTCAGTTTTTTTTTCAACCCAAATCGTATTTTTTCTTAAAGAACTTAATAAAAAAGAAAAGAAAAGTTCAGTACACCTCCACTTTTTTCTCTTCGCTGCATCTCTGGTAAAAATGCATTATCTTTGTAGCAATAAACTAAAGGTACGAAACTCTTTTCAAAATGACTGCCATCGACAGTACTTCTACTAGAGTACACGTATAAGATCGTGTATTTTACAATATCAGTTTACCAAATATAATAACCACATTTTCTTCCAACATGACATGTACAAATAAGAACAGGATGTATTTGATCATAATTTAATGAATATTCTTCTCGATGTTGTTCAAATGAGAATTCAACATGTTCATATAGATGCCAGGATTGTTGATCGCTGAATACAGTTCGATTAACACCGGATGGTTTTTGTTTATTTTCAGTAAAATATATATCATTTATTGTTAATGGTGTTGTTAATGATATTGATAATTCTTGAACATCATATGGAAAATGATTTAGTTCCATACGTTCCCAAAAAGTACCTTTGAATTTATGATGTTCAGTTATTTCTATCAGACCATTTTTATCTGTTTTGTTTGTTGAATACCATTTCTATTTAAAAGAAAAACAAAAATTTTATTCGTGACTATTCAGAAAGAGGAGAATTTCATAATCAGTTCAACAATCACACATCTGATTCAACAATTTATTCTTAAAAAAACCTCGTATTTTTATGTATAAAATCAATCAACTACTCAGCAATTCATCCATCTATTCATATTTCTTTTTTATTCAAAATATTAATTATGGCTAGCTTTAGTTTATCTAAATAGTTCTTTGTAAATGAAACTATATACTTACATCATGTCTTAATGAATCTCCCATATGATTAAGAACAGCCAATTGTGGATTAAAATTCCCCGTTTGAGGGTCATATTCTGATTCAATGTTCGGATCTGTTACATACCATGATGCTTCAAAGAAAATTTCACCTGTATATCGTTCATTAAGTGTATCGATTTCACCGACACGTAAAAAAATACAACGTACACTAATTTCAATAGGTACAGGTTTTTCATTTAAATTTTTAACCGATAAATTTGTTGAACCTGTACGTTCATCAGATGATTTATTCATCAAATCATCTCGAGAAATAATTTTTGATATAGAAACGTGTGTTGGTAAACAAGAATTTTTTAAACGATAAAGACTATTATTAGTTGTTGGATCTTTACATAATGATGATGGTATAATAGATGTTGGAGGAGTTTTTACTACTAATTGTTCTAAATAAGGATAGGATGTTGATGTTGATGGAGGTGTTAATGAAAGCATAGCTTGGAGCGATTGAGCAGAGGATGCTAAATGATGGAAGCTATGTGTATCTGGAGCTTCAATTACGATATTTTGACGATGACGTTGTGATCGAGTATTATGAAAATGAGAAGCACCAACTTCAAATAAACCGAAACAGAAAAAAAGAAATAAAAGTATTTTAAAAATCTAAAACTTACGTAAAAGATTGTTGTTTCCACTTAATGCCATTTTCTTATTAAATCACTAATCTACAATATAAAAATAACTGATAAAGTACACTATTCAAATTATAAAAATGAATACGTTTTTTATTTTAAATACTTCATTTCAAAAGTCTTCGAAAAGAATTTATTTCTCATACAAGACGATTACTATTTTTTTATTTTAGATTTCTTCAAGAAAATTCGAAACTTAGTCATATGGGATAATTCATAAGAAATAGTAAATTTTGTTGAATTGTATGTACTTACTAAACGTAAAATTTCTTGTATCTTATCATTGATCTAACAAAATATAATGCTTAATGGCGTAGGACACTAAGACTTTCGTTTTAATACAAGCATAATAGAAGAAAAGACGTCAACAAGATGGTGATGACAACTATTGTCAATACAAATTTCAAAACATGTACATAACTGCTCCGACAAGGCTAGTTTGATTGGGAGTGGAATTTCGAGTATGCAATAATCATTTGTTTCTAAAAACGTTCGAAATGTTTCAATTATTCTTTAACAAAGTCAAAATGTTTTCTTACATTTTGTTCGAAATAAACTATTATACCAGTTCCTAAAATCTCGATATTATTTCTAATGTAAGATAGTGTTATACTAGCACAGCATATCATATAATCGCTGAATCATACTAATTATTTATACATTTTTAAGATTATTGATGTATCAATTACGCTCAACAACAAGACGTGTTTCTGATTTCTAGAGTCTTTTTCATTGCCAAAGAAACACAAGTATTTTTTTTCCCCATTTACAAATAATTTATTCAATAGATCATCATTTTTTAAACAAAATAAAACATATTTCGATGTTAATTATTTACTTACAGAAAAGATAAACATTAATCATCTCACCGAGAAAGACAATGGAAATACTAAAGTTGTCATCATCATGTAAATAATAGAGTTTCATCAGGACTTCGACAACATATCACGATGACAATAATATGTCTATAGATAATAACAATACCAAAAAAGAAACATAATTGATATATTCCGTCTATTTCTTTTCATAGCTGTGCTAATATTGTTTTTTTATTTATACACGAAGATAAGTCGAAGTATCTAGTTGTTTTGTTACTGTTAATATAAGTTATCGCTGATCTGTTCAGAATTTTTTTTCTAAAAATTGAAAATATGAAAATCGAATTATGTAATACTTCATAAAACATTAATTGTAAGAGTTATTTTTGTTTAATGAAATTTCATTATTGGCTATGGCTTGATGGCATACATTATTTGGCTAATTAAAGTAAAATGTTCGCAAAGCAGAATTGGTAAGGGGGAGAGACAAATTTTTACAATTGAACTTTCACGTATGTTGATTGAGACATAGTACAATTCGTGTATAAATTCATACTTAAGTTCCTTTCTTATTTATTTGTTTCATTCGAAAATGATAACTTTTGAAGATTATACTGCCCTGGTCAAATTGTTTCGTAGTCGTAGAAAAGCTATCGTCTTTCATGATAAACATTTTTATTTTATTCATCTAGCTTTATCTCCTTCACTTTGAAGCTTTCGTTCATAATACATGCTTAAAAAAAATACCTGAAAGACACGTGGTGTCCAACACTAGACCAGTTCGAAGCTGTTGATATTCTTAAATCGAGCTACCTGCACGGACCATGTTACTATATCTATATTCGCTTGTTTCTATAATGGAAACTGTTTTGTCTCTTTCTTTCTCTCTCTGATTCTATTTTGTGATGATATTTGTCTCTCTCGCCTCGATTCTGCTTTGTAGCCATTTTTTGCCCTAATTAAGAAAAAACGTATGCAATCAAGAAGACAAATCATTATTAGATGAATTCATAAATTATGAAATATTTCAATTCCATCTTATACTTGAGAATTGAGACAAAAATTTGAATAACATAGTAAAATAAAAGTTGCGTGTTATTTTTTATTATTTCTGAAGAAAAATTGAATAAGTGCTTATTTTCTATGAGGAAGATTAGTTACTTTTTCTATCCAAATTATAATTAAATGCTCACCTTGAAGTAAATAATATAAAAAAATGAAACAATTGATTCTATTTAATCAAACGACTTCAGAAGTTCATGAAAAATACTTGCCATAAATTCTTTGGAAAAATAGAATCAGTCAAAGGTCTCCTCTTCTATCATAAAAATAATGATAAAAATAAAGTATAAAAAAGTAAATACTAACAGATGTTTCTAATCAATAACATGATAAAAAGAACTGTTCAATAGGTATCCGAAGTGTTAGTGAATCTTATTATAAAGATATAAAACTTGACTTAAAATGTGATTAGTAGGAATAGCTAAATCTCCTGAGCTTATAGGCTCTTACTACCTTGAATTCTAGTGACATTTTGAATCAATAAGAAGAGAAGGCCAGCGAAAAACAAGACCTCTCAAATGATTGGATGGATGAAGCAATTAATAAGAAAACCAGTTGTATCTGCTTGAGTTCTCTATAACTGAGACTATCAATTTCGATAACAAAAAAATTCAATGCCAAGAACTAATATAACTGTAGACAAAAAGGAAAAGCTCACTTTGCATTCACCGAGTGTTTTTTTCTACGAAGATGGCTTTTAGTCAAGTGTTCAAATTCATTAGAAGAAGATCACTCCACATAACCTTCATCATGTCAATTTAAAATTACTTATTCTGTCACACTGAAAAGTAATTCAATATTGGCGATTGCTTCATCATCATCTAACGCAGTTACCAAACATTAATTTTCAAAATTTAAAAAAGAATGGTTCTTCATTATTGAAAGGATGTAAAAACGATCAAGCAAAAGCAGTGTGTTCTATTTGTAATGTACAATTCTCCATTTCTGAACTACAATATTGTTGGTATAGAATTAATAACTACAATAAATACTCGTTGCTGTTGTACCAAATTCGATAATTGCCTTTTTTAATGAGTCAGATCTCCTAGAACTAACTCATTCATTTGAAAGATATGATTACGTTGTAAAACAGTTACAAACAATATGGCTAAAATTTATTATTTAAATATACTCATATTATTTTGAGTCGAATCGATTTTCATGATTATCTTTACATCACTTAAAAGAAAATTTTTGCTGTCACCAACTTGGCATCAGAATATAACAAGCACTTAAGTGAACGAAAATTTGAATCTCCTTTGAGAAAAGACCGCTAAATAATTTCCTGATTTGCATAAAAATTCTCTTGGTAAACTCCTGATTTTTGAAAAAAACTCGTGGTTTTTTTAAATTTGACTTTGGTGATTCTACTCATTAGAGAACTACAGTTTCAATAAATCATTTGATATCAACGTCTGCGTTTTCTTCTGTTTGGTGCTATATTGAATTAAATGTGTTGAATAGAGATGATTTTTTTTTCTTTCACTTGAATCATCTGGTCAGAATATTGATTTTATTTGTGAAGAAGATTCATTAGATTATGAATAATCATAATAAGGAGAAATAGATTGATGCATTATTGCAAGTAACTAATGCTTTTTTTCACTAAAGTAATTTCGTGATGCTTTTACTTTTTATTTTTAATATTCTAAGATATAATAATGACATGTCAGTGATAAAGAATGAATTTTGCAATTTATTTCATCTATTTCGATAACATGAAAATGTAAAGGAGCAAACATCTTGTTTACAAAGTTGTACCATTTAATTCTTTACAGTATTTTCTCTTTCAACGAAATGTATTAGCATTCATTGCTGTAGAATCCACAATTGAATACAATTGTAGGAGTTTTCAAAGAATAACTTTCTTTCGCAGTCTCGCACTTAGCATCAACCGACAAACGATATATGCATATGAGGAATGAAATTTTGAAAGTTTCAAAGTTTCAAAGTCAAATTATTTATCTCTGAATAATCATGATTGTTAATGCGCGAAAAATTGTTTCATTACCACTGCTTTCCATGTATGACATAGTGAGTATGACTTTATTTGAGGTTTTTGAAATATGTTACGACTGATTCTGGCGTTTATTTCATCTATGAAATCGACTTGTTACAAGACACATGTTGAAATACTAAACAATAGTAATCATCTTTATAAATAATTGAAAGTGTTGGGACAATCAAATGAAGTCATACTAGCAATTTCATATATGAATATTAATAGAATTAAAATAAGTTTTCCTGCATGAATAATAATAATCATTCCGAGATCAATAAGTTGACTCAGAATCTTTCAAAACATTTCATTCGTGATGTAAATGTAATGATTATTGACTGACTACTAAGTACAAGATTGCAACAAAAAGCTGATTCAAATGTTAAAGTATGTAAAATAAACGTTTGACAGAAATTTATTTTTTGAAAGTTGTGCATTTCAAACATATCCATGTCATTTTGGATTTTAAAGTGACGAGTATTAATGTCATTTGTTGAGACATACAAGATTGTAGAGACTTAAAGAGCACATCTTTTAAAGAGTTTTCTATTTTAAGTTTTATTGCTACTGAAATAGATGAAAAATACTCAGAGGTCACATATTTATTGTGCGTCCGTTACTTAAAGCATCAAATAAATAATACAATAGTCATTTAAAAAAATTTTTACATCATAGATCTACAGATCATTTGCTATAAAAAAGAAATCAATGAATACGATAATGGAAATAATGCTTTGATTCTATCCTCGTTGAACAATTTTTCTTGTGTCCTAAGACATCTAAGAAGAAAAAGAGATGTAATCAGCAGTGAACTTGAGTAAAGTAAGAAGATTTTTGCGTTTTAGTTTCATTTATGAAAACCAGAAAAAAGAGTATGTATTAATTTAATGATAAAAAATTGACATTTATATGTTCTGAATTTCTTTGATTTAGATCTAATCAAAAACAAAGAATATCATTAAGAGTGATGTCATAACACCATACTGTGAATATTAAGATTTCTCAAGCACATGGGCATAGCTAACTCATTATTCTAAAAATAGATACTCTTAAAGTTGAGATATTTGATTTATTTTGTTATAAGTACCATATTGCCATGAGAGTAAGGTATAATGGCTGAATTATAATTGACTA